CAACACCCACTGCCTCCAGCCTGTCCCCCATCCTTCCCCGAGCCTGGCTCTCGCTGGCAGGAGTGGGGAGCAGAGCCCGGTGGCCTTGGTGGCCGGGTGGGACACGGCACAGCCCGGGCAGAGCCACGGCAGCACGCAGGATGCAGCCCCTTCCCCTGCGGACGAGCGCAGCGCTGGCGAGACCCTCCTGTACAGGTAAAAGCACAGATCTCGTAGTAACTCGTCCCGTGTGTCCTCGTAGCCGGTGTATTTACCACGCGTGCCGTGCCGGCCGGGCTCCTCGGCAGTCGAGAGAAACCCTGTAACAGCTGTAACGGAGTCCGATTAAAAGTCTCTTCTTACCAAATCTCTTCTCACCCAGTCTCTGCCTCGGTTTCCTTTCTTGGGGTGGGCTTTGGGGGCTCTCTGAGGTTTGGGGTTGCAGACAGCTACAGCAATGGGTGTTGGGGCCGCCAGCACCCGCGGGCATCAGTGTCTCTGTCCTTCCCTGTCCTGTCACCCCCATCATCCTTCTGTCATCAGCCTTCATCCCTCATCCTCTGATTCCCTTCCTCCATCCAGCATCAGCCCCTGCAAGGGGCTTGCTCAGGGCCCGGCTGCCCACAGGTGCTTCAGGAGCATCATGGAGATGATCTTCCATCCTGGACCAGTTCAACCAATACACACTGGCTTTATGGGGCGCGTGGACTGGTAAGATACGGCGTCTGCTCCTCTGCATAATGCCCTGCTAACATTGCTGGTGGCTTATCGAGAGCACTGGGGGTGCTGGGAGACTGGAGGCCAGCACTGGGATCTGGAGACCCTCCCTGGAGAAGGACCAGAGATGTCCAGCAGCCCCAGATGACTTCAGCTGCTGGGTCTTCGCTTAGGAACAGGCCTGGTGGGGAGCAGGGCTGCTGCTTCCCTTGCCTCCTGTCATCTGTAGCTCGCTTGGCTTCTTCAGGGCTGATCCAGCCCCAGGGAGCATGAGGGAAGGGAGGGAAGAAAGCAGGATGGATGGGATCCGATGAGATCCGCCAGCAGCAGGGATGCTGGGGAGGTGCCACCCCTGCGGTGGCAGCCGTGTCGGAGCGGGGCAGTTTTGCTGAGCACCGCTGCATCATCTGGAGATGTTGGCGTAGGACTGGGGTGAGTGTCTGCATGGGGGGCTGCAGGGGCAGCACTGCCCGTGCCGGAGGCAGGAGGTGGCACAGGGGTTATCTTCGGCCAGAGTCCCTCCAGGACCTGGATCCGGGGGAAAACATCCCCCAGGAGCGA